GAATTCCCCAGCCAGCCATGCTGGCTAGGGAATTCTGGGAGTTGAAGTCCACACATCTTCAAGTCACCAAGGTTGAGGAACCCTGCCCTAGAGGATGGTCTGGAACCATTTTCCATGGCCACAGAAATAAGGTTGCAGCTACCTAGATTTCATTTAAGCATAAGGAAGAACTTTGGACAGTAAGTTCTGAGCTGAATAGTCTCCCTGCAGAGGCTTGTGGAATCTCCATCTGGACATTTTTAAGGCAAGGCTGGACAGCAGCCTGTCAAGCCTGGTTTAATGCGTGTTCTTGCAGAGGGTGGGAATAGATGTGGCTCCTTCTAGCGCCACAGTTCTGTTCTGCGATTCAGTCCCGAGGTGACGGCTCCTCTGTTTTGCAGTCAACATATTACATGGAAGGGGACAGAGGACATCCCGTGTTCGAGACCCAGTATGGGAAGATTGCTGTGAACATTTGCTTCGGTCGCCATCATCCCCTCAACTGGCTCATGTATAGTTTGAATGGAGCAGAGATCATCTTTAATCCTTCAGCCACTATTGGCAAACTCAGGTATCATTATATTACCCTTCATGGCAGAAAGTGGTATAAAAAAGCTAGATAAATCTCGTGAATACCAGGGTTTTGCAAGTATGCCTAATGAGATGGCAATTCAGATAGTCTCTTGGGTTAGATTCAGGTTTGTGACTTGTCTGTCTTTAAAAAAACCCTTGTCTAAAGAAGATCAGGTCCTTCAGTCTGTCTTGCAGCACTTTCTGCGTTCTTCCCTGGCTCGTGCAGCTTTCTCTCTTCCTCCCGATCTGCCCCATCCAGCCGGGAGAGCCCAAAGAAGGAAGGCGCCTTCCCCGTGTCTTCTCTTTGGAAATGCAGGAAGAAGCCTGGGCAGAGGCGTGTCGGCCGACTCCTCTGAGAGCTGCTGCTTGCACCGACGAGACGTCTAGCAGCGACTTCCAAAACAGCCAACAGTGCAGGTTGCCCCACTTTGTCAAAGGAGGCGAGGAAGCAGCACTAGAAGAAGAACTAGAACATTGCTAACTCAGTTTCTCTCTCTCTCTCTCTCTCTCTGCATGTCTGTATGTGTGTGTGTGTGTGTGTGTGTGTGTGTG